GAGGAATATGATATAAATAAAACTTTTTTATAAATTTTTTTATTAGGCAAGAAGTTGATTTCAGAAGTGTGATGTGCAGGTTTGATAAATACATTTAAATTTTTCTCTTTGCTAAGAGCTGAATAAAAAATTTAAAACTTACAGTTGTTTTTGTACGAGGTCCATCTTTAGTTTCGTTTGACTTTTGACTGGGATTTATTAGTAACCCTTGCTGCTTGATATCTCCATTAATCTGAAGGGCGCCGTTTCTATTTGAATTATTATCATTGTGAGAATTGACCGCATTTGTAATCTTGAAAACAGATGTCGGTGTTGGTTTTGAAGGGGTGAGTTGAGATTGTTGTCTTACAGGTGTGTGTTGGAAAACAACGGGAGCTGCCTTCGTCGGCGTTGATGGAGCAACGCGAACAGTATTTATCTTAGCTGTAGACTTGTACAGTGTTTCTGTCGGCCTTAAGCTTTTGGAGTTTTCTGATGTCAGGGGTGAAGTATAGTCTTTGATCACAGTTTGAGTAATGTATTTACGTTGCGGGGTATTTTGGTTTCCGTTGACATTAACCAGTGTTATGTTCTTTTTACTTGCATCAATCTTCTCTTTGACAGGCTTGTTTACATATTCATCAGTTCGCCTCATGAAATATGAGTAGTCATTTTCAGGAGTTACTGAGCCGCTTGAGTTTTTGGTGCTTAATTTGTGAACTACCTTTGGCGTCGTAGGAAGATGAGATTTATTATTTTCTGGAATCGTTCTTGTTGTAGTTTTTGACGGAGTGGATTTGGATGTGTAAACATAAGTTACTGTTTCTGGGGTTTTTTTTTCATCCACTGTTTTTCTTTGCAAGTTCAGATAACAAGGACGTGTTAAATACGGTGATTTCTCAGCAGCAGTTTTTTCTGTTTTTGTTCTACTGTCGAATTTTCCATTTTTGTCGCTACTTGTTGGATTCTGGAATTTCTTTAATTTTTCTAGAGATGTAGGGGTTACTACTTCGACGTGTTTCTTTTCTAAAGATTTGAAAGTTTGTTCACTGGCTTTCGCTGCAGTGTTGTCTTGCGTTGCTAAAGCACTCCTCATTTTTTTAAGTTCCTTTTCTCTTCTTTTTGATATTTCCATCTCGTGATGTATCTTCTGCATAGCAATCTCTTTTTCATCGGCGCTTTTTGGTGGGAATCCAAGCCTCACAGTACTAGTAACCCACGACTTTTGATCTTCGCTCTTTTCCCATAATTTCTTGAAGTGGTTTTCTAGCTCCGTTTCTTGCACTGAATTATCTACTGCAATTAAAACTTAATTTTAGTAATCTTTAATATTAAATTCTTAAAAAGAAGAAGAGCTTTCAAATAACCAGTTTTTTGATGAAGCATATCAGCGAACCTATTGGCGATCCTTTATAGAGACGTCTGGATTCTGGTTTTTCGTAATTACTGCAGGGTTCCAATTTTCCATGAAGCACAGAGGGGCTTGAAGGTTTAGCTTCCAATACGAATTTTGGTTGCATGGATGGACTAAATGAGGGCGTAGGTGAAAATGCGTTGTTTCGGTTGCCCTGGTTGTAAGTTTCGCTTTGTTTGCTTACTGGTTGTACATTGGTCTGGTCATGACTTCTGTATAAGATCGCGCCGTTATGGGACCTCTCAGGGGTTTGTGATTTGGCATTTTGAACAGGTGAGGGAGCAAATGTCTTCTTTAGCTGAGTAACTGGCGAATTTAATTTGCTCGTCTTAGGGAAGTTTGTTGGAGATCTTGGGCTTTCATTATTTCTGCTCGATGGTGATGGACTATAAGTGGAAGGTTTGCTTGTTTCTGGAGTAGGTGGGGAGAATGAGTACAAGTTGAGGGCTGGGCGCTGTTTGTAATTGCAATAGCCCACTGCTTTTGCGGGGCTTTTTGGACTATCCTTCTTCGAATTTTCAATCATTTTTTGAACCAATTTTAATTGTTTGACAAAGTCCTGAAATTGGTGCTTGGGCACTTGCTAAGCAATTATGGTTTGGATTTTATATTGTTTTATTTATAAAACTTGCTTTTAATAGCGATGAATTTGAGGAATTTGAGTTTTCAGTACACTTTTGGATTTCTTCATAAATACTTTTGAGTTTGGCATATTCTTTTTGCAAGTTCGGGTCAGAGCTGCTTGCGATTTTTTGTTCCAGTACGGAGGCCTCGTGAAGGATATCCGTCTTTCTTAAAATTTTTATTTTAATAGGACTTCTTAAAGGGAGTCGGAATTAATATTAAATAGTCACTACATTATGCGAAATATTGAAAACGGACCTTTCTACGATATTGAAGTTTGAGCTTCTGCGTATTCGTGAAGGACTTCGACCGCCGTATTTTTCGTTCCGTTCTTCGACTTGAGAAAACTTTGTGTAGTAGACGTTGTCATTTTGTTCATAAGAATCGGGTTTACTTTCATTCGAGACTCCAGTATTGAGAGATCGGTAGGAAGAATTTGTCGGTGTTGGTGAAGCAGAGTAAGTTTTTTCAGCAACTGAAGTTATTGTTTCTTTTATTTTTGAGTTGCTTACAGGTGTAGGGGATATAGGATAAGTTGAATTAGTTAGTATGCTGTTTGACGACGTGGTAGAAGGAGTGGATTTTGAAAGGCTTTTGGTTGTTTCAGAGTTGACGACATCCTCGCATTTTGTTGTCGGCTGGTTATCTAAAATAATTTTCCTAGTAGTGTTTCTCGTGAAGTATCATGTTTTACAAAATTCCTGGACTGATATTCAAAAAAACTTCTCCACTGCGCGAGTTTATCTTCAGTGGTATTTTAGGCGTAAATGCTGAAGCTTTGAATGACTCTTGTTGCTTTATGTCAAATTGATAAAAACATGGAACGCAAAAAGTTTGCAAAATAATCTGCTTTTCTTTTTATTTCGCGAAAAAACTACTAGGAGATAAAGCTTATTTCACAGTCGAAACAAATTAGATGCTATCTGTCAGAAAATACGTTTTCATTTTTAACATCCCAGACTTCTTTCAAAGTTTGTCATCTCACATAGTTCGGTAATAAATTAGCAAGGTAGAAGAATTTATTCTTCTGTTCTTTCTTTTTGGAAATCTATTATCTCCTGAAGTGAAGAAAGCAATTTTTTAGCTAGCCCGTACGTGATTTTGCAGCTTTGTAAAATCTTTGCGCTTCTAAGTTTATTTTAAATACGTTTTTAGCCTTCTTCTTGCTTCCAAAACTTTAGTTTTCACTTATCAGTCATAAAAGTCATAAAACTTAAATATTTTTTGGTAGACTTGGAAAGCATTATTTAATCATTTTTTAAACATGAGTGTCTTATGCAAATTCTTTTCGCCTAAAAGAAACGGTAGATCTCAACTTACTGTGCAAGCGGGATGAATTGAGGTAATGATTTTTGCTAACTAGTGGTGGTAAGGTAAGCTCTTTGGTTCTGAAAACTGCTGGCCTAGTTTCACTTATTAGCAGGGTTTGAGAAAATTGAGACATCATATAAAAACTTTGTTTAACTAAGCAGGAGTGGCTCCTGTTTATTGCTGGTTAGCTTGAAAACAACGGTAATGGATGAAGAAATATATGTCGAAAGAGAAACGGGAATTTTTGTCTACAACTTCGGGCTATTAAAAATAGTCGAAAGAAGAGTGTGGTTTTTATTTAATGATTGAAAAGATTTTTTTTTGCAGATAATAAATTCATATTGGCGGTTCCTCAAATTAACCTTTGCTGTCCGCTTTTTTTGTTTCGGTTGGGAGTATTTCATCCAGGTCAACCTCTACAGGACTAGAAATGGATTCCAATTTACCTGTGGAGTCGCTGTCTGAAAGTATGAAACAGTAATTCAAATATAACTCAAAATGGACTCCTAATATGCCTAATTTACTGCTAAATACTTGTTAATTTGAATAAAGGTAAAGGATCTGTGTTATGAAAATTACAAAAAAATTGTCTACAGCAGCATTTAAAGTTATAGTAGTTTTACAGTTTTCCGTTAGTATGTTGAAGCCCGTTGCAGGAATAGTGATTGGTTTTCCAAATAATATTGTTTACTTTGTAGTACAGTTCAATTCCGTTTTTTTCAACCATTTTATGGCCAGAACACTAATGAGGCAGAAAAAAGTGAATTTTTTAAAATATTAAACGAAGGAAATAAAGTATAAAGAATGTTGAGCATAACAGAAAGTGGAGAATATAACATGAAAAGTTGCATAAAATTCATAAGTTTTATTAAAGAAATTGTTTTGTTTAAAAAATGAGTGGTTGAAAATGCAGTCATAAACCACTGTATGGTGGGAAAGGTAAATAAAAGTAGAACAGTTTAAAAGCAAGAAGAAGCTAATTTTATCAGATTTATCAGATTTATTCTTATCACGATTCACAAATAATCATTAATGCATTTACCAGCATTTGATGCAACTTTATCAGCGGTCGATATAAAACTTTGATCTAGTTTATCAACGACAAAAGCAGTATCTGAAGTTTCTTCATCTGGCGTCTTACAAATGTTGCTATCTGAATATTTCATATGAGTCTTTCTTCATATATAGATTTTTCTCTGTCAGACAAGATTTATATAAAAGGTTTAGTAATTTATGAATAATTAATGTCTTATACTTCTATCCAAAAAAAAAAAACTGCTGTTCCGATCTAGATCAGATTTCAAAAAACAAAAAAGCTTTGACCAAATTATTGCTTGAATGTTGGCCATTTTTTTTACGAAAATAGGTGACTTCAACAGCTATTAAGATGCAAATAAACAAAACAAACAGACATAACAGCACTGGCCCAGTTCTTTTTTTTTTCCTCTAAGAGATGGCTATTTTTGTAAAATAAAAAGTTTGGAGCTTCTTTCTTTAGTTACTTCTCCGTAGACATTTTAACTGAGTAAACTTAAAAGAACAAATATACAGTTACCAGTCGGGACTTCAGGTTCTAAGTTTTTTTGGTCACCGACGCTATTCGGACCAACGTTGACGTCATCGGAAGCTACTGTTGCAGTATGATCAATGGTTTCGCCTTTTTCATCGTTCTCATCAATATGTTCTTCTTTTCCAAATGTAATGGTGACGTCTTGGACATCATGTTCAACCACTCTTCCTTGCAAGTTATCTGTTACATTCTTCACCAATATTTCTTGCTTTTTATCATTTTTTTCGCTACTGATGACTTCAGATTTCGTTTTAGTTTCTTCACCCCCATTTTCAGTGCATTTTTTTGGCGGACCAGACGCCTTTGGCAATTCTTTCGGCACTTCCGATGCTTTGTGTTTTTTCTTTTGATGTTTCGCATCATATTTAGACTTTAACGCTGTTGTTTTCATGGAGGGCCTAAAAAATCTGTGAATTTTTGAACGACTGACAGCTTATTTTACTTTTTTTTTAATAATTGAGTTATAAATCAATCAGATTACTACCGCGATAGATTTTAGAAACTTCGAGTTTTTTGCCTATTACTAAAGTAACGGGGCCAGACCTTCATTATAATCGGTCTTCTAAAATAATACGAGCTTTAATTAGCATATCTTTTAAAGCGTCTGAAAAAACTATGGCTGTGCAAGGATATCTCTACAGTTTACCAGTGACTTTGTAGACCTAGCTAAACTTCTAGGCAGAAATTGTTCTGGAGATTTTTTAAAACTTCAAGTCATCAAGAAAATACATAAACCACTAACGCTTTTTTGACTCCTTTCCTGTGCATTGCCTGCTCTTTGGCTTTGACCATTTTTTTACGGTCTTCATCGGCTTCGTTTTTTGTTCCATTGCTCTTAATTACCTCGTTTACATCGTCTTTCTTTTGTTTCTGCAAAAGTTTTGATGTGTTTATCAGGTTTAGAATTGCTTTTAGCAAATTATTAAATTATTAAACTAATCTGTAAACCCTGGCTGACTTTTACAACCTACTTTGATTGGTTGAAATTTTTTAAAGCCATATTTTTCGATTAAAATTAGAGCTGCGAGAAATGATACATGGCTGCCAACGGGCGAACAGTCTTGACGTTTTACCGACACCGAAATTTATTGGTGTCAGATTAAACATACTGTTTTTGATAGTCTACGTTAAAAAGTGATTTTCACGAACGAAAAGTGAAGACTTCTAAAAAATTAGAGCGGAAGCAGCTTCACGATTAAAATTTGCTATTAAACATTCTAATTGCACATAGAAACAAAGATCACTGTGAATCTGACAGAACTTTGTGTGAGAATTAAGAATTTTTTTTTGATGATTTGCATCAGGTAGCTTCAAGAATAAGCAGTACTTTTTCATCTTTTCTCACCTATTCTAATCATGATATTTTTTAATTTTTTGTTTGTGTCTTTGGCTTAAAAAAAAAGCGCACTTGCATAGTTACAGCGTCAAAAAAGAAATCAGTGTGAATTTTTGTAAAAAATTTTACCACTTATTGGTCCCCTCTAGTAGTAAAGGTCTGGCCTCGTCATTCATGTAAGGAAAAGACTGACATTCCAACTGAATAGATACTCTATTTTAAAATATTTTTCAATTTTTTTTTCTATCAAAATCAACATAAAATTGAACTGGTCTTAAAGTGTTTAGAAGCCAATTGTAGCAAAATGTTCTTAAGCTTGTTTTACAGCAGACTGATTTTTCGTGAAGGGACCTATTGTTTCGGCTTCTTTCTAATAAATATTGCGTTCAAATGTTGAATAATTGTTTCAGTGCAAAACATTAAATTACTGCATATTAACTGTTGTCACTGTGAAACTAACCGTAGCAAATACTTTTATTAAACAGTGGTCAGAATGGAACAATTACCAGAAATGTTACTGATTGTTGAGGGTTTTTATTTCCATTTGCAATCTCAGCATAACATTTTGTTAAATTTTTGTTCAACAGTAAAGTACTCAGCAAATTCTAAGATTAATCGGCCAAATAACCT